CATTCAACATCAGTTAGTCTAAAGTCAGTTGCAGCTGAGCAGGGAGCCTGATGCGGGGCTCGATCCCAGGACCCTGGGATCATGACCTGAGCCGAAGGCAGACACTTAACGACTGAGCCACTTAGGCGCCCCTATGCCAGGTCCTGTTTGAGGGCTGGGGAAATAACAGAGAACAAGACAAGAAAAATCTCTGCCTTCATGGAGCTGACATTCTAGTGGGGGAGTCAATAAATGAATACATCAAATATGTGATATGCCAGATAGCGATAAGCATTAAAAGGAAAAATAAAGCAGGAGAGGGTTATCATTTTACCTTGAGTGGTGACCATAAAGGTAAGACCTTTCCAGGCAGAAGGAAAAGCACAAGCAAAGTCCCTGGGGCAACAGTGTGCCTGGCATGCTAGGGGGACACAGAGTTACCAGTGACACTAGAGCACAGTGGTAAGGTGGAGGAGGAAGGAAATGAGGTCATACAGATATTGGGGATCCAGCTCCTGTAGGGTTTTGTAGGGCTTTCTGTCTGCTCCAGTCTCACCATTTTGTCTTTTATAGAGCAAGGTGGGAGCCAGGGGAGGATCTGAACAGAGGAGGACTCTGATCTGACTCAGGAGTACACAGGTTCCCTGTGACTGTGTTTGGGGATCAGAGTGTGGGAGTGGGTTGACCAACGAAGAGGCTACTAAAATAGTGCAGTCAGGAGATGGTAATGGTCAGAACCAGAATACAGAGAAGAGGGTCAGAAGTGGCCAATTCTGGATATATTTTAAAGGGAGAGCCAACAGGATCTGCTGATGGACTGGATGAGGAATGCATCCCGGCCCATTTAGACTAAGGCCACCAGGGACACACCTGTAGTCCAACAGAGTCAGGTTTATTTACTATGGCAATGAGGGAAACTGCACACTGGAGGTACTATGAGGAGCCCCACCCAACAAAAGAAAAGACCAGTTATTATTTGGATTTGAGAGAAGGGTGAATTTTAGGTGAAATGTAAATGAAATTGTTTGGATAAGCTTAAAGCAAAGCAGAACTGTGTGGATAGATATTAGGTCTGGATTGTGAAGTGAGTCCAGGGTCCTGTCTCCTTGAAAGTAATAAAGTTTAGGTAGATGTGGAAAACTGTGTCCAGAAATGCCTTACCTGAAGCTCTGCACCTGGACAGAAGCGACTGAGGTTGCTTCTCAGCGTCAAAGTGACAACTCCTCCAGGCATTAAGTGAGATGTTTCATTTTTCCTGATATAACTCCAAATGGCGAAGTTTAGGACAGCCTATGATTTTAGAGAACAAAGTTTCCTAGTAAAAAAGCAGCAGTCACTCAAAGGGGAATTTTTTTTTTTTTCACTTTACATCTGCAGCATGTCCCTGAGAAAAATACAGAAATATTTTTCCTATTAACTCTTCAGCCAGATTTTCCCGTGTCTTTTAGTCCAGCCGGGGAATAAATGGGAAGACAGATTTTTTTTTTTTTTTTAAACAGTTCAAGCTAATTTTTACTTTCTCAAGTGCGAGGAAAGAAAAGAGGTAGGGATGACTGTAAGGTTGCCAGCCTGAACAACAGGAAAGATGGAGGAAGCTCTTAACTGAAATAGGAAAGGTTGTGGAAGGTTTGGGAGACAAGATCAGATCAGGAGCTCAGTTTCGGATGTTTTACGTTTGAGATACCTCAAATTCGTGGACATAACGAGTGGGCAGTTTTAGGCTCCTCCCTCCACAGTCCCACTTCTCACGCTCGCCCCTTTCACTACCTGTAGTTAATCGTCTACCCCTGCGCTTTAACACATCTGCACCTTCGCCTGTGCCGTATTTAGTGCTAAGAAGACCGTCTCTTCACTTTGCTAGCCTTACTTCTAGACACCTGCAAGCTGGACCAGGCGCCCGGCACAGCTGCAGTTACCCTCGGGCCCCGCCCCCAGAAGCCCCGCCCCGCCCTTGCGCTCACTTGTAGAAGCTCACAGGGCCGTTGTCAGCGCCCGGTCGGCCCGAAGTGTTGGAGCAGTTCGAAGCCCGGCAGTACTTGGGCATGGCTGTTCGACCCCATTGAATCCTGCCCAGTCTGCAGTCGTACTTTGGTCCTCACCGCTCTCCCCCTGACTCACGTGATGGGCCCTTGTGCCTCATCACGTGCAGGGGAGGGAAGAGAGCGCCTGCGCGCTACGCGCCCAGCTGTGTTACCCGTTACGCCCTGGTCACGTGGCAAATGGGGAAAGGCGACGCCTTCGGCGCAAAGCCGGTTCCTAGCCACCCTGACCTTACCACGTGTTGGGGGAGAGGTGGCGTCACGGCTTTTCTGAGCCTGCGCCAAGTGGTCCGTCTCGTTCGGCTCCACCCTACGCTTACATCCGGGTGACTGCCATTGCGTGGGTAGTTGCTCGGGGATGGGGAGTGCAGTAAAAAGCGAGCTGGAGGCTTTGGTCTTAGCTACGTAAAAGTTAAAACCTTAATGTCTGTTAATGATAAACACAAACCGCATAAAAAACGCCACTTCTCTTGATCAGACATCAAGTAAACTAGCTATGGCTCCACCCTTCCATATACTTCGCTCCGCCTCTCAGCTCTCATTGGTCAAAACTGCCGCCCGGCAGCCCTGACATTGGCCAGACCCGGGCCGCCGCGTCCAATGGGCGGCGGCGGCGGCTTTTCCCGCGGCCGTTTGCTTTTCTAGTGGGTCGCGGAGGCGGCGGCGGCGGCGGCGGCTTTTCCCGCGGCCGTTTGCTTTTCTAGTGGGTCGCGGAGGCGGCGGCGGCGGTTGAGGAGCGTAACGGTCGCCGGGCTCCGGCACGACGATGGCAGCCTTGGGGCCCGGAGGCTCCGCGCGGAACGATGCAGTCGAGAAGCTGCCATCCGTCACGGTGGGAGTTCCGGCGCGGAGGGGCCGGGGCTCTCCGCCCCCCGCTCCGCCGCTCTGTCTCCGGCGGCGGACACGATTCTCGGCGGCGCTGGAGGACACGGTGCAGAACCGGGTGAGGAGCTGTTTGCCCTGCCCACCCCAGGTCCAGGGTTCCTGGGCCTCCCCTGGCCCCGCCCTTAGATCGTTGGCCCCGCCTATCAGCCCTCGGCTCGTCCCCTCAGGCTCCTCTCTGGCCGGCTTCGTTTCAAGGTCCCGCCCCGTTAGCCAGGGCTCCTCCCACTCCCCCGTTTCCTTCTCTCTCGGGTAGTGCCCACCTTTCCCAGCTCATTTCTCCCCTCCCTCCGAGTGTATTTTAGTTCTAATCACCATCGGCTCCCTCCTTCCTGCGTATCCTTTCAGTCACCTTTAGATGTCTCTCTGGGCCCTTCCGTTTTTGTTGACCTCTCTCTTCGCTGGATCTTTAGGGTATCTACCAGTGTTCAGTCCCCAATCCTACCTACCTCGTCTGTCCCTCAGTTCGCTCCACCTTCTCGCCTTACCTGCCTTCTCTTTCCTTCTCCCTTACCAGTGTGGAATTATTACATATTGCCACCCCAAATTATGGAGACCATTTGAGTGATTGTAAAATCTCAGCACCGCTTCCGGGGCGGGGGGGGTGGCGTACAGAACAGTTCCCTGAGTCCTTAGAGAAACAAAGATTTTAGAGTAGGTAGAAGGAATTCCATTAGCACAGCAGCAATTTAAAAAATTGTTCTCCAACTCTCTGAGCTACAAAGTCTGTTTTTATAAAATAGAAGTTACAATAACCATACCATGGAGTTGCAGGGAGCAGAAATGAAATTGTGACTATGACCTGCTTGGCAGAGTCCAGGTAGAGGGTGGAAACATGGTAGATGCTGGTGGATCTTGTTCCTGCCACAAAGATTCCTGCTGCACTCTGATTATATCACCCATTCCTGGCTGCAAGGCCTGGGCAAGTGGACCCTGCCCACCTCTCTGGCCATACCTCCATTGTCCTCTCTTTTACCAATGGTCAGTCACCCTAGCCTGCTTTCTGTTTTCCTGAGGCTCCAAGATCTTTACCACCTCCTAAGTGTTTGCTGAGTCCTCTGGGCTTTTCGCTGCAGTCCACCTGGCTGGCTCTTCATCCCTCAAGTCTCAGCCTGAATATCCCTACCCTGAGAGGTCTTCTTGAACCCCAGCCTAAGACAGACATCTACTTTAATCTTTTACCTAGCATCCTGTACTTCATAGCCCTTATCTTGTATGTTCCTGAAAGTGCCTTGTGAGCTCTAACCTGTGTATAAAATAGAGGAATAGCAACAGCAATTTCAGAGAGGCAGTAAGCAATGTGGTTAAGCAGCCTCTGGACCCAGACTGCCTGGGCTTAAACCTTAATTCTGTTTTGTTTTGTTTAAGATTTTATTTATTTATTTTGAGAGAGTGAGAGAGAGTAAGCATGAGCCGGGCGCAGAGGGAAAGAGAGAAGCATACTCCCCGTGGAGCAGGGAGCCCGATGCAGGGCTCTATCCCAGGACCCGGAGATCATGACCTGAGCCAAAGGCAGATGCTTAACCCACTGAGCCACGCAGGTGCCCCCTTAATTCTGTTCTTGTTATGAGCTGTTCTGTGCCTCAATTTCCTCATCTGAGGAAATAAGGATATAATATAAATGAGAATAATGAGAATAATAATGTAAATACATATTTATAAATATAATATAAAGATTCCCTTGTAGGGTATTTGTGAGGATTAAGTGAGCTCACATATCTTAAGCATTAGAACAATACCTGGCACATTGCAATTACTCTATTAGTAGTAGCTACTACTGCTTTGATTCTGTATTTTGGGTAATTGGTGTCATTTATTTATTTTTCTTGTTTGGTGGCACAGAGTCCCTCTGGCTAACATAAGATCTACTTTAAAAATTACCATTGTGGGGTGCCTGGGTGGCTCAGTTGGTTAAGCATCTGCCTTTGGCTCAGGTCATGATCCCGGGGTTCTGGGATCGAGCCCCGCATTGGGATCTAACCCTGCGTCAGGCTCTCTGCTCAGGGGGGAGCCTGCTTCTCCCTCTGCCTCTGCCTGCCGCTCTGCCTACTTGTGATCCCTCTCTTTTTCTCTGTCAAATAAATAGATAAAATCTTTTTTAAAAATGACCGTTATATTAATACCCAGTAATGCTGATTGACAGATATAAAAAACGATGTGAGTGCCATTGCCTGATTGCTTGGGTTAGAGTTCTGGCGCTGCTCCTTCCTGGATGGGTTACCTCTCTGGGCCCCTTTATATCCTCATCTGTAAGATGGAGATGATGATGATGATAATGCCTACATCACAGGGTTATTGTGAACATTAGATAAGTCAGTACAGCTATAGGTATTTAAACAGTGCCTGGCTCTTGGTAAATGCTCAAGAAGTGTGAGCTATTATTATCCTATGTTTGCCTCTCATTTCTGAGGCCAAGGACTTGCTTGAGAATGCTTTACTTTGTAATAATTGGAAGCTAGTATATTCAGGATATGAAAGTACCACAATTCTAATAGTCCATATTCTAAATAGTTTTAATCAACCGTGATGGAGACTCGCCCATTTAAATTGCTTTGCTTAGAGAATTTTTAAATTTTAAATGTGACTGGTCACTTGTTTCTTTACTTGTTGAACCTCTAGACTGTGAATTTGCTGAGGGAACAGATGGTGTCCACTCTTGCTCACTGCTGTCCCTCCTGCAGGGCCCAGGGTACTGGCTTTGGAGCCAAAGACTAGCTGGGTTTGTAGCCCAACCTTGCCACTCCACAGGTGTGGGATTTTGAGTCTCAATGACCTCATCTGTAAAATAGGGGTGACAGGCGCCTGGGTGGCTCAGTCATTAAGCGTCTGCCTTCGGCTCAGGTCATGTTCCCAGGGTTCTGGGATCGAGTCCCACATTGGGCTCCCTGCTCAGCGGGAAGCCTGCTTCTCCCTCTCCCACTCCCCCTGCTTGTGTTCCCTCTCTCGCTGTGTCTCTCTCTGTCAAATAAATTAAAAAAAAAAATCTTAAAAATAAAATAGGGGTGACAATTGTGCCTTCTTCCTTGGGTTGTTGTGGGGTTTCAAACCTTTCATCCATATAAAATACTTAGAAACTTATTCAGAGGTCACCTTCTCAGTGAGGTCTTCTCTCCTTCCCCTATACTCCCAGTCTCCTTCTCTGCTTTATTGTTCTCTTTGCTCCTATCATCACCTGACATCTATTTTACATATTTGTTGTTTTTTATGTCTTCCATCCCATCACCACTAGAATGTGAGCTCCAGGAGGGCAGGGATTTTGTCTGTCTTCCTCACCATTCTGTGTCCTTCAAAGCCATGTTGAGAAGAACAAATGTCAGCTGTTGGTAGCCTGACTGTAGAAGCTCGGTGTTGGAGGTCACAGGGACTGAATGGGTGGCTGAAGCACTGGTGCCACGAAGGACCTCCTGGGACAGGTCCTTCTGACTTGGACTTTTTCCCCACAGGTGTCACTGGAGAAGGTACTTGGCATCACAGCCCAGAACAGCAGTGGCCTAACCTGTGACCCCGGCACAGGCCACGTGGCCTACCTAGCAGGGTGAGTGAATGGAGGCTTTTCCATATGTAGACTGCAGACAAGCTACCTACACCTGAGGGCTGCAGAGAGGATTCCCTGGGCCCATCCGTGTCTAGAATAGTACCTGGCCTGTGGTGAGCACTATGAAAGCCTTATTGTGACTGCAGGTGGGAGGTGGCAGCAATTCTGGGAAAGACCCAAGGCGTGGTGTCAGACAGCTGGATTTATGGCCCAGCTCCACCACGTGATCCACCACGTGAGGTCCTCTGTGAGCACCTCATTTTTCATCCATAAAACAGAACTAGTGATATCCTCCTCTTGGGTAGTTGAGAGGACCGAAAGATATCCTCCTGCTGTTGATTACACAGACACTGATCTAGCCTGGCACTGTTCTAGGCACTGAAGGGACCCTTTCATGCCTATAGGGCAAGCCAGACCTGTAGTCTTTCTTAATGAACTGTATCCGTTATTCAGTCTTTGGGATGCAGTCCAGGATAGAGGACAGGGGTGGGCTCTTGAATCTGACAGTGTATGGATTCATATCCCCACTCTGTCCCTGACCAGCTGGGTGGCCCTGGGCAAAGGATTTTTCCCTCTCTGGGCTGCAAGTTTCCTCATCTCTAAAAGGGGGCTAAGATGTCCGACTTCACCTGGCAGTTATGAGGATTTAAAGAGGTTATGCCCACAAGGTCTTTATTAGCCGAGGGTCTGACAGAATAGTTACCACAGAGGAAGTGTTGGTTTTTGTTTAAGAATATATTATTTAATAATGTGCAGTGCCCTAGAATTCTCAGCGTAGATACCTGGAGGGGGAGGAGAGACTCTTCTGTTCAGAGGGAGCCTTATTTATGTGTGGGCTCTTCTATTGGGAATGGAATCATCCTTGGACCCTAGTACGTCCTTTAGTTTGGGCACATTTTCCTCTTTCTCCCCAGCTGTGTGGTGGTGATTTTGAATCCCAAGGAAAACAAGCAGCAGCACATTTTTAACACTGCCAGGTAGGCTGGGCCCTGGGCATTGGGTAGGGGTGGGACCAGGGTCCTGGCACCTACCCCCTTCCCCACATTGCTTGGAAGCTTGTAGGTGGGTGACTAACTCATTCACTCACCCACTGGTTCAGCTACATTCTGCTGCTTTGTGCTAGGCAGTGTTCCAGGTGCTGAGGACAGTGAGAATCTCTGCTCTTGTAGAGCTGATAGCTCAGCAGCGGGGGACGACTAAACCAGTTGGCAAATTACTAGGCAACTCTGACCATTGCTGTGGAGGAAAGAATGAGGACGTGTTAGGGTGGGTGTGCAGGCAGAGAATGGTGGGGGACAGGGGAACCATATCAGAGGGCCCAGGGAGGGCCTCCTGGAGGCTGAGAAGTAAGGGGGTGACCCCTGTGAAAGTGTGGGGAGAGTGTTCCAGGTAAAGGGAGCCCCAAGCACAAAGGCCCTGCAGTGGTTAAGAATCTTGGAGTTTTTGAGGAGCAGCCAGGGAGTCCTGTGCCTGGAATAAAGAAGTGAGTGAGGGCGAGATGAGGCGGAGACAGAAGCCACTTCTGGGTATTGGCAATTTTTAAACTTTTTATATTGAAATAATTTTAGACTTTAAAGAACAGTAGAAAGAATGCCTGTATACCTTTCACCCATTTTCCCCAAATGTTAACCTTTTGCCACATTTGCTTTATCATTCTTGGTCTATATATGTGGTAATTTTTTTTTCTGAACCATTTGAGAGCAAGCTGCAGACATGACACCCCTGTACCTCTGATTATTTCAGTGTGTATTTCCAGTGGGGGGAGCATTAGCCTTCAAAACCACAATACGATCAGCAAAGGCAGGAAATTAAAATTGGTACATCACTACTATCTAAGCCTCTTTCAAGTTTTAGCATTTATCCCAAGAATGTTCTTTAGAGTGAAAGGATTCTGTCCAGTATCACACGTTGCATTTAGTTGTCTCTTCAGGCTTTTTCAGTCTGAAGAGGTTTCTTCATCTGTTCTTGACTTTGATGACCTTGACACTTGAGGATTACAGGCCAGGTATTTTGTAGAATGCCCCAGCCTTTGGGCTTGTCTGATGTTTCCTCATAGACTGAGGTTCTGTAGCAGAAGGAATGCTGCTTTCGCCTCTGCATTCTGGCAAGAGGCTAGATATTGATCTCTCCTATGACTGGTGGTCTTCGCTCGGGCCCTTGGTGAAGGTGGTGTCTGCCAGGCTTTCCCGCTGTGAAGCCTCTTTTCCTCTGGTGATTAGTGAGTATCTTGCGGGGAGCTTCTCTGAAATTGCAGATATTACCCTGTTCCTCATCAGACTTTCATTCACTAGTCTTAGCATGGCTTTGACATTTTACAAAGGCTCTGCAGGGCATTCTGATGTGCGGCCGGGGCCCTGCGCTGTCAGGTTAGGTCACATGGGCAGGACTTCCCTGTGTTGAGGTCTCCTCATCTCAAAACTGGCTGAGAGTCCTGACTCCAGAGAGTGCCCTTGAGGAATGAGTGCAGTGATGTCCGTATAGCATTTTGCAGAGAGCCGGGCACAGGCTCAAGGCAGGCGACAGGTTAGGAGTGGCTACAGACAACAGAAACCCACAGCAAGCATGGCTTCAAACACAAGGGCATATACCCTTCTTGCGCGGATGAAGTCTGGAGGTGGGCACCCAGGCGGCTGGTGTCTCTGCGAACATCAGGAACCCCTGGCTGCCTGTCTTTCTGTTCCACCATGCCTGTTGTGAGGCTCCTGTTCTTGAGGCTGTCTCATGGTCCGAGATGGAGTTCTGGCTGTCATGTCCTTGATTCGGAAGGAGAGTGACTGGGGATCAGGGCAAAGAGTTCCCTTTGAGAAGCTCTTCTGGAAACCACACGCAGCATTTCAGCTTACCTCTCGTTGGCCAGAGTAAACCGTGCAGCTCTGCCCGTGTGGCTGCAAGAGAGGTGAGGGATTGCACTCGCGCTGGGGGTGCAGCCATCCTAATTAAAACTCGGATTCTGTCGGTGAGGAAGCAGGGGCAAGTGGCCATCGGATAGGCGGCTTGCCTTGTCTGCTGCTGTAGGAGTGATGGGAGGCCACCAGAGTTGAGGTGATGATGATAAATGCTCTGTGAGATTGTCAAAACGCAGGATTTACTTACAGATTTGCACACCAATTAACTCAGGTGAGGGAGGCAATTACTAGACTATTAAGGAGCACAGATAAAAAAGAGAGGGGAGAAGAAAACAACAGTGTAGTCCGGGAACCATGAAACTTGCTGCCAAGAAAACACGCAGACGAGTCTGCTGACTCAGTGCTTATGCAGGCTGGAGAGAAAGGTGTTAATTGTTCATGGGTTTTCCAGAACACCATGCGTGTTTAGCTGTGGAGCGCATGCTGCAGGCTTGTGTCTGGGTGCGGTCTGCCAGGATCTGCCCTTCAGTACCACCCCCCATAGTTAGGCCAGATCTGTGCCATTTCCTGTACCTGAATTTCTTGGGGTTACAGGGTGGGTGGGGTCTTAGGGAGCCCACCCCTCCTGAGGGAGAGGAAAGGAAGGTCCCTGTCCAGTGACCCCCCCCATCTGGGTTTGCGGCCTTTGCTTTGACCCCCATTTCCCTGTGCCACTGACCCCCTTCTGGCAGCAGGGAATGCAAGGGACGCCCTGTGTGCTGTGCTGGGCCCACAGGCAGCTGTGGCTCTGTGGGACCTGCTGGCACTCCCCTCTCCTGGCCTCTTTCAAGGCTTGGAAGCAGAGAGTGGGCAGAGTTCTGTGAGCACAGCCAGACAGGGGTCCGGCTGCCTACCCCACCTTGGAACCAGTGACCAGCCCCTTTCCTTACCCCCAGGAAGTCTCTGAGTGCTCTGGCCTTCTCCCCTGATGGGAAGTACATAGTGACGGGGGAGGTGAGTTGTGATGGTGACTGGGTGGGGAGGGATCTGGGGCCATTCCTTCTACCCCCCAGTAGGCCTGGGAAGTCCCTAGAATAGCTTCTCCCCAGGCCAGAAAGTCCCATGGCAGATGGGGGAGGCGGCTTTTGGACACATCCTGGGGCAATGCCAATTTCAGCCCTAATAGCCCTTCTAGCCCTGCCTGGCGCAGAACCTATCCGCAGTAACGGCCCCGCCTTCCCCAGAACGGACACAGGCCTGCTGTGCGCATCTGGGACGTGGATGAGAAGAGTCAGGTGGCAGAGATGGTGGGCCACAAGTACGGCGTGGCCTGTGTGGCCTTCTCCCCCAATATGAAGCACATTGTGTCCATGGGCTACCAGCACGACATGGTACTCAACGTCTGGAACTGGAAGGTGAGACGACCGGTGGGGGTGTGGGCCGGCAGCCAGCTGCCAGAGCACTCTGAGGCTCAGGCGTTGAGCGAACTAAATGAAATAATTTGGTGAAGTGTTCATTTATCAAAAAAATATTTATTGAGCACCTATTGCATGCTGATCCCCGTTCTAGACACTTACTGTGAGGCATATGACAAGCTCTCAACTAGTGGAATTACATAATTATTTTCTTTTCTTTTTTTTTAAGATTTTATTTATTTATTTATTTGAGAGAGAGAGCACATGAGAGAGGGGAGGGTCAGAGGGAGAAGCAGACTCCCTGCTGAGCAGAGAGCCTGATGCGGAACTCGATCCTGGGACTCCAGGATCATGACCTGAGCTGAAGGCAGTTGCTTAACCAACTGAGCCACCCAGGTGCCCCTACATAATTATTTTCATATCGACCAGCTGTGACCTTGAGCAAGTGACTTTATTTCTCTGTGAGTCTTTCCTCATCTGTAAGATGGATATGCTAGCATCTACCTCATTGAGTTGTGAGAATTCAATGAGTTATGTGCCGGAAGGCTGGACTTTGGAACAGCTAGGGGAGGACTTGGAGGTGGCAGAGGTGGGTACCAAATCCTGGCTCTGTTCATTACCTGCTGTGTGACCTTAAGCACATGACACTACCTCTCTGTGCCTGGCAGAGGTGGGGAGAAGCACCTTCCACATAGGACTATCGAGAGGATTTCATGCTGTGCAGGCTCAGCCGTGTGTGAGCTGTAGAGCATGGACTCTTGGGGAGAGCTCTGGACTTACATGTGGAAACCTTTCCAAGCCTCAAGTCTCCTCTGTATTGGGAAAGATAAGAGTGCCACACATAGGTTTTTCCATAAAGCAGCTCACTGGAGGACCCAAAGAAAACCGACTTGGAGCAGGGGAGGGTGAGGAGATATAGGGCTGAGAGCAAAGGCACAAATGATCCAATGGATGGGTGCTGGCATAAATTTGTCTGCATTGATTTTTCCAGAAAGACATTGTGGTGGCTTCCAACAAGGTATCGTGCAGGGTCATCGCCCTCTCCTTCTCAGAGGACAGCAGCTATTTTGTCACCGTAGGGAACCGGCACGTGAGGTTCTGGTTCTTGGAAGTCTCCACAGAAGCAAAGGTAGGTTTCTTACCCTGCCCCCTTAGCCAGGCTGGGGGAGTAACCATTAGGAGCAGTATGGACTACTGTTTTTACCTGAGATTTGGAGGCAATGGCCTCAAAGGTTGTCTGGCCTCTGGTTCAACTTCTGCTTCTGGGCCTGCTCTGTAGGAGGTGTCAGGGCCTGCTGGGAAATCTCCTCCCCACCCACTGACCCTGGGGCCAGATCTCTTTCCTGGACTGCTGCCTTCCAGCCCCTCTGCCTGGAAGTGTGTATTCTGTTTTTTTCTTCCCTTCTCCATTTGGAGGAATGTCTTAGAGTCCTTCTGTTGAGCTATGTGTCATAGTCTCTGGCCGTAAGAGTCCCATTGTGACCTTGCTGGGATCTAGGCCACGTGGACAGTGTCTTACCGTGCCCTGCTATGCCTCCAGGTGACGGGCACGGTGCCCCTTGTAGGGCGTTCAGGCATCCTGGGTGAGCTGCACAACAACATCTTCTGCGGCGTGGCTTGCGGCCGGGGCCAGATGGCAGGCAGTACCTTCTGTGTGTCCTACTCGGGCCTCCTTTGCCAGTTCAACGAGAAGAGGGTGCTGGAGAAGTGGATCAACCTGAAGGTACCCCACCATTCCTCCCTGCCAACAAGGGGAAGAACACTCTTCCCAGGATGCTCAGTAATATCCCTGCCTGGTAGTTGATCCCACTCGCTCTGGGTCTGACTCCTCAGAAGTTCTGCTTGTGAGACTCTGGGTGAGTGACTCTCCCTCTCTGAACCTCAGTTTCCTCATCTGTAAAATGGAAATCCTGCTGCCTACCTCACAGAGTTGATCAGGGAGTCCCATGAGATAATAAATAGAAGGCAGGCAGCACAGTTCCTGGTTCCCTGTCATGGGCTCAAGGTTACAATTCTCTCCCATCACTGTTTGACCCAGTTCCCATTTCTCTTCTTCACTGAGTACTGTAGCTGGTGGGAAGACTGCATCTTTTTTTTTTTTTTTT